TATGCAAGTGATTTGAACGAAACAATTTTAGAGGTCAAAGTAGGTACGACACAGTATCATACACATCAACTATTTCACGAATATTTAAGACAATCAATGACACCATTTTGTACACCTCATTTAGCTCAACAATAATTAAAACAATCAACGAAATGGAAGAAAATTACTATTAATTCATTCTAGACATCCCATCAAATTAAGCAACCAAATCCTACCATCAGATAGTTAATATTCAACCAAATCAAATCATAAAAAACCAAATCCTGTTTATAACTTAGCAGAAAAATCGACTTTTGCAGTCGCAGGAGTTCGCTGCACCAAAAATTGCCACATATGTATAAAGTTATCCATCGAAATTCCATGAAAATTCAATTTCACAAGAGGGACCCAAAATTGCACAAGCACAAGATTTTCGATATGCGTCTCTTCTGTCCAATACAAACAAAAGCGCAGCAACAATAACCACTTATATTTTTGGTAAGTGATGATATTAAATTATGATAAGGTGTGTATAATTTATTTCAAATTGTAACTTATACTATCTTATTATTGCCGCCACAACCATCTTATACCAGAAATCATCACAACTGTCCAGAAGTGAGACATATAAAACCACAACAACAGATCTTTGTCAACAAATGATCGGCTTATACTATGGTATTCACAATGACTATTGGTAAAGCAAGTACTATAAATTCGACATTTTTGGACACCACATTTCGTAGCTTTGTCAAAACTCAATTCATTGAGATCAAGATTATGCTGAGAAAAGAAAAATACCCAAATCCCATTGAACAAAAGCCCTAATTTATTATGAAAAGCATATCAAAAGTTGGGTACTGATTAAACATTCAACTCTTAAATCTTCAAAAATTCAACACAAAATTGGAATATAGTTCGCCATTGGTACATTCAACCCTAAAGTCTCAATTAATCCAAAATTTCCCAAGCAGGTTATTGAACGACCACAACTATAATCATTTCCCAAAAGCACTTCAAACAAAGATGTGTAAAGGGGAAAAAATATTCATTCTATCTTCTACCAAAGAGCAAGCATGAAATTACAGCCATTTTATATTCAAATCAGCCAAATAAATCCATACATACTCTACCCAATACATTCAAACAATGAAATCCCAACTATACTCAAACAAATTACACTAATACAGAAAGAACCCTTGTGCCTAATTATATGAACAATCTCGAAGTAGAACTAATTTCCCAAGTTCAATGGATTATCAAACTGTCATATGCTGTTTTATGTATATATTTCCTCTTCTTCAGAAAAAATGCATAAAATGAATACAAAACCAACTTGAAGAAATTAGTGATGGTCTTCGTCCACGGTGAAGTGACCCATGGCGGTCGTTGATGGTTGGTGGTTCGACGATTCGAATGTCAGAGGCGAGTCTCGCCTTTCGCCGGTTCGTATCACGCAACGAACTGCTCTCGGTCTTCGTCGACGGTGAAAGAAAGGAAAGTGAGATGGAGGGGATGATTCCAATGAAAGAGGAGAATGTGTGAGAGAAGGGATGTGTGAGAAAAAATTTGCATAAAATTACTACAACACCAACCTGAAGAAATTAGTGATGGTCTTCGTCCACAGTGAAGTGACCCACGACGGTCGTTGATGGCTGGTGGTTTGACGATTTGAATGTCAGAGGGGAGTCTCGCCTTTCGCTGGTTCGTATCACGCAACGGACTGCTCTCGGCCTTCGTCGGTGGTGAAAGAAAGGAAAGTGCGATGGAGAGGATGATTCCAATTAAAGAGGAGAATGTGTGAGAAAAAATTGCATAAAATTACTACAACACCAACCTGAAGAAATTAGTGATGGTCTTCGTCCACGGTGAAGTGACCCATGGCGGTCGTTGATGGCTGGTGGTTTGACGATTCGAATGTCAGAGGGGAGTCTCGCCTTTCGCCGGTTCGTATCACGTAACAGACTGCTCTCGGTCTTCGTCGGCGGTGAAAGATGGGAAAGTGCGATGGAGGGGATGATTCCAATGAAAGAGGAGAATGTGTGAGAAAAAATTGCATGAAATTACTACAACACCAACCTGAAGAAATTAATGATGGTCTTCGTCCACGGTGAAGTGACCCATGGCGGTCGTTGATGGCTGGTGGTTCGACGATTCGAATGTTAGAGGGGAGTCTCGCCTTTCGCCGGTTTGTATCACGCAACGGACTGCTCTTGGTCTTCGTCGGCGGTGAAAGAAGGGAAAGTGCGATGGAGGGGATGATTCCAATGAAAGAGGAAAATGTGTGAGAGAAGGGATTGTGTTTCAACACTGGTTTCTTCTTCTCCTCCTTCGTTTCGTTTGGTCGTTTCACCTTCTTCCTTCACCAGTTTTGTTCTTTTTCTTTTTTTCTCTCCAAGTACCTGACATTTTAGAGGTTTTGTACAATTTCAAGTGTTGTCATGTCATATTTAAACAAGGACTCAGACGGAATTAAACTTAGTAAGAGGGGCAAAAAAAGTCCAAATATGACAATTTTGCAATGACTTAAAAAAAGTGACATTTTTGTAAGTGAAAAAGTAAAATTTGACTAGTTTGATAATTTTCACATTCCTTCTTGTGCATTGCATATAAAAATAGGATTGTATATTATCCGTGGACACGTTTTCCCATTTTTTCAAAGACAAATAATGTCCATGTTTGTCATTCATTCTCTTCCATTCTTTCTTATTTTTTTTCCCACAGTACTCATTTTCAACCACACATTCTTCATTAAAATAATATTATAAGTAAATAAAAAAAATTTCATTTTTTTAACCACACATTTCAACATCAGTCACTATTTCATAGTACATTCTTTGCAAATAATGGGTGACAAACACACACAATAATTCAAATTTGACCGTGATCAACTCGCAATTGACGAGAAAAAAAAATTCCGTCTCTTGTTGTTTTAAAAAATCTGAAATAAAAAAAATGGAAATTATTAATTTTAGAAAAAACTGATTATTATTATTATTATTTTATTTTTTTAAATCATAAGCCAGTTAAACAAGTATTTTCAAATTAGGATAAACTCGCGTATCACCTCGCAAGGTTTTCTTCTAAATTTGTACCGGAAATCTTTGTGAAAACTCGAAATAGACGGGGGTGCAACCCTCATCTTTAATGTAGGTGGTGACATCATATTTATATTTGTGAATATACTTTACATATGATTGTGATTCTTTATCACATATATGAAAATATAAGCCGATCTTCGGTTATAGATTGATTATTGAATTTCTATTATAATAATCATAGAAAGAAATCCGATGCCAAATTTTAGGGGTGTCTTTTTTTTTTTTTTAATATGCTACTGCATAACTTTGCACTGACAGTTTTCAACTGTTTGTGAATATGTCTGAATAAGAAAATTGAGAGTATTAACTTATATTTGATCTTCCTCCCCCTCACACTTTTGTTTACTGCAATGCAGGCTCTGGAAATGATGTTTTTCCGTCGAGTTTCGTCTAAAACACTTAGGCCTCTACAAAGAAGTAGGTTATTTGGAAGCAATAGCGGTTATGATTTTTCAAAAGCTATTCAAGAGCTCAATAAGGTATCTTTTCATGTGCTAGTGTGATCTCTTAATTTTTTTTTTCTTTATTCATCTAATATTAAAATAAACACTCTCGGTAGGATTGTAAACAAAGTAGAAATCGACAATATTTGGAAATTTTGAATACTGAAAAATAAATGGTATTATGATTTGTTATCTAAAGCTTAACAAGTGGACATAAAGTTCTTTTAAGAAGTCAAACGATTAAGATACTACATAAAAAAAATTGCTTTTAAAGTAAGATGAAAGGAGTAATTATAGTCTAGAAGCTCTATAGATTGACAGAACAACATTTTTTAAAGTTTATTAATAACTGTGTAATTGGATGTAGGAAATGGAATCTGTGTTTGGTGAACCTCCAAAATCTAGTCTTGCTGGTTCTATAGACAACCAAAGTATGGCTCATGATTCAGAATCTGCACCAACTCATGTGACACAAAGTATATCATCCTCTGGCTTGACTCATACTGACAGTAGAGGTGAAGCCCAAATGGTAGATATCTCTCCCAAAGAGATAACAAAGAGAGTGGCCATTGCAAGTTGCAAAGTTATTCTGGGGCAGAAGGTGTTTGATTTGGTCTCAGCCAACCAGGTGGAAAAAGGAGATGTTCTTGGTGTAGCAAAAATTGCTGGAATTTGTGGTGCGAAACAAACGAGCAACCTCATCCCACTATGTCACAACATCAATTTGTCACACGTTGCTTTAAATTTGACACTGAGTCCTCAGGACCTTTGCGTGGAAATAGAAAGTGAAGCTGCTTCAAATGGCAAAACTGGGGTGGAGATGGAAGCCTTGACAGCTGTGACTATTGCTGGTCTAACAGTATATGATATGTGCAAGGCTGCTTCAAAAGATATCCTCATTACAGATATACGGCTTGAAAGCAAAAGTGGTGGGAAAAGTGGGGATTGGTCGAGGAAGAAATGAATTTCCATAGGTGGGAACTTTTGTTGTCTAAATATTAGATGCATTTCCGTGTTTATGTGCATTGTTCCGGCTAAGAACTATTCATGTTACGATACTCTGTGTTTGTTGTCTTGGTGTCATATCTGTTTGGCTTTTCAGAGGATGTACTGGTTAAATGAATGTCTGAATCAGACGTATAACTCTTATGGGGTTATGGATTTGCCATTTGTATAATCTACTTCGAATTTATTGGCAATGAAGCAACATCAGGTTTTGTAGTTTTTGTTTTGGAGATGACATTTCTACTTTCTTTGGATGTGTTGACGTGAAATTTTCAAGCACACGTACAGTAAATACGTGTTTAGTACACAACAATCGAATGTACAAAGTATATCACACCAGTACATATTATTTATATTGACTGGAAAAATAAAACAAGGATTATTCCGAATGCTTTTAGAAGAAACTTTATAGGCTTTAAATCTTTTTGGATGGTAATAGAACCCTTCTTCGATATTCTGCTAGAGCCCACAATGGGTATATGTTTCTGTACGCTGCATAATGTAACATGCAATTCTTCATAAAAACTCCTGTGATTTCCTGCCAATACATGAACAATGTGATGGTTAGTTATACGAAACATGTAACTTGGGTTTGGGAGCACATTGAATTTGTGAAATTGCAAGTTCTTATTTAATTAATTTAATATGAAAAATTATAAATTAAGAAAGGTATGCGGGACGCTTAATTATAGTTTACCTGTTGGGGATAATCACCATTTTCCATCTGAGAGTTGATCAAAAGTTTTGCTGCTCTGTGGAGAGGAGTAGGATCTCTATCCGCCTGCCAATTTTTTTTTCCGAAAAAAGGTGATTATATTTTTTGATGAAAAGAAAATCAGTTAACAGCATTATAATTAATAACTCAAGGAAGAATACTGTAAAAGAAGATAAACCTGGCCTGAATAAATAAGTCCCATCATAGCCCAGGCAGTATGTACCAAGTTTGAGCGGTTTCCTTCAAGAGGGACATATTCCTGTTCAATGAAACTCAGAAAATAAGGAGACGTTTCTTATATATATGCTCTATTTTCCGTTCTTTCATTGGATCCAAAGAAGCAATATCCCGGTTCTCTTAAATGGAAATCTAGAACAGGATAGAGCCGGGAAGGGTCCCAGCTACCGATTCAGAAGGAGAAAATTACCTTGTTGTGAAGGTAAGAAGGATCACATACAACTTTCTTGCACTTAGCTGTTTCCCCCTCTGATGTCACACCAATTACCATGCCTTCATCGTTAAATTCTACCTGGCATTAGAGCAACTCCATATCAGGACTCACAACATCACCCCATCCACATCCACACCCACACCCACACTTAAAATAACAACAAAAATAAAACCAACAACAGGAAGACAGTGAAATGTAATAACAGCAGTCAGATTAATGGTGGTCACAATTATAAATTTAAGGCTATCATCAAACAAAGAAAATTACTGGAGGAATAACAAAAGTGACAACAATGGCGAAATAATTAAATTAATGGCAATGATTACACTAATTGCTTAAACAACCGTGTTGAAAACAAGAATAAGACTAAATGGGTTCTTTCAATCTTATTAGAAAGTGAGAAACAAAGCCGAAATATAATTTTCACCTTTGTTTATTTTGGTATTCCTCCATTTTTCTTCCTTGAGCACTTTGTGAGGGACAGAGTTCTTGTATTTCTATTTCTTTGGGTATTTTTTGTGGTGGGGAGGAGAGGAAGAGAAGAAGAAAGAGAGATGAAGGAGTACCTTGCACTCGGGTTTATTCAACATGTAGGTTCCACCATAAACAGCACTAAGACGAGCAAATGCATAATGACATAAATTGAAGTACAAGACTTCTATAAGAACACGGTGGATCCAGAAACTTATAAGCAATGCACTAGATTGAAATATTACACCGTAGAGTGCGCAAGAGGGGATATAATGTCAAATAAGAACACGAAAGAGAAGATTTTGTGAACTGAATAGATAAATAATGAAATCGTAAGGTGCATAGATAATAAAGGAAGAAGCAGACCTGGGGAAGCTCTCCTAGGCCATATAAAGGATAGATGTATGGTGATCCTCCGGCAAAACGTGCTAGAGACTCCGCATATAGCTATCACAAGATTAGAAGCAATATCTCAGAAAGGAATAGAAGAAATTTACATGTTCCATTGCTTTATCAAGAATCCAAAAATGTACAAAATAAGGAACCAAATAATTGCTTTTTCTTTTTTTTCCCCCTTTATTTCTTTCTTTTTTTGGGGGGGTGGGGGGTGGGGTTGGGATCAATACCTTCATCCTCTTCACAGTATCCAAAGCTGGTTCTTCTAAGTAGCGGTCATCTCTGTGGAGAGCCAATGCATGACCAATAAAGTCCATGGTGTTGGCATCAAGGCCATATTTTCTGTCAGAAGTTCAGAGTATTACCCGCACAAGAAGTTCGAGTAGTTACTACTTAATAAATATGCATCATGCTGAATATATATAGCTAGTAAATTTTGTTTGTTCAAAATAATGTTTTCTCATCTCGTGAAATCTGTTTTGTTTCAAAAGCAGGTTACTTAGAATATTTTTAATTTTTTAGATAAGGACATTAGATTTACTTTTGTTTAGCAGATTCTGTGCACCAATCACAGGGATGAAATACTCAAGCCATAATTTTTGGCATATTTTCTTTTGGAAACAAATCCGAACGGGGAAATGGTAATAACTATTCTAATGACATGAATTTGATAGTGAACAGTTCCAGTTTAATAAAACGCTCATGTTATGATTCTCCAAAATAACATTAGAAAATGTCATTAAGCCAACCCCTTTTTATCCATATGTGCCTCTGAAATAATCCAGAATTCAAAACAACCTTATAGAGTTTCCTCAATTAATACGAACACAATAAAAAGAGAGGGGGAGCAAGGGGGAGAGGTTCAGTAAAGATCGAGAGCATACGCAACGAGCTCTCTAGTTGTAACTCTTGTCAAATCCATCCCTTCATGTGTTTTAGGAACATTTTCATCGTATTCTTGGACGTATATGAAGAACTTTCGAGCACGGCGCTTTTCAAATATACCCATGAGAGGAGATTTGAGGGCCTCCATGTCAGTGGCTGGGACCTTGTGAACCTGTCACGTGTACCACAAAATTGGGCAAGTTTCAGTTGCTTTAGCTGGTGTGAAACAAAAATCAACATGTACCCAAAAAGGCTAAAATACCTTTCCTTTGCTGTACACATAGCTGCCATCAACAGATTTGAAATTCAAATATTTGGTAACATTAGTATGAATGAGGACCCGCAAAAGAGCTCCATTTGCCATTATAAACTGAGAAAATCAGCGGGTCAATGTAGCATCCAAATAAAATCTACTGAAAGAAATGTATGAAAGGGATTCGAATAAAATAAAAATGATAACCTTTGGGATCATGTCGACGTTGTAATCTCTACTAGAATCCAAGTGAGTTGGAGGATTATCACTTCCTTTAAACCTCTTCCACAGCTGCATATAAAAAATTAATATGGCATGTGCATGAATCCTGCTCTCTGGAGGTTTTCGGGTGCTTGTGTGCCACGAGTTGGAAGGTGGGGGTGGGGGTAGGGAAGTGGGTTTCAAGCGGCACATCTCTTCCAGAAATAACAGAGAAAGAGTTACCTGAACAAGATTGAGTGAAGTTGATTCTCCACCATAATAATCATTCCTATCCATATGAAGGACCTATTTCCCAAGAAATACTGTTTCAGGCTCAAGAACTAAGAATAATTTTTGGGTCTAGATAGTGACTATACGGATTTGAAGAGAAATTGTATGAAAATAAATCACCCTTGTGCAAAAACAAATAGCATAAGACAGACTTGAAAATGTTGACTACCATCAGATGCTAAAATCTCACAAACGTAAATTTCAAAGCCAATCTTCTGTAATTTTACTTTGATAAAAATCACCTTATGAAATAAACGAGATCAAGAAATTAAAAGAAGCAAATAATACATGATTAAATCCAACCATAAAGAGCAATATCCATACAGATTAAGGAAACTTATGTCAAACAACTGCTGTTGGAGTGTAACATCTCACATTGAAAGCATGGAGCTAAAACGGAAAGAAGAAAAGCTCAAATTGCAAGAAAAAGAATTAGTTAAACAAGTTAGTTAGTTGTCATTTCTGTTTTTTCTGTTGGTAGTTAGTTCAGCCTTCTTTCTGTTATTTTCTTGTAATTTTCTGTTGATGTAATGTATTATAAATACGGCTCAGCCTGATGTACAAATTTGATGGAATACACTTTGATAATTCTTGCCATTTTCGGTCTCCTGATTTTGTTTATCAACATGGTATCAGAGCTGATACATTCTGCAATCTAAATCAGTTCATCTCTCTATTCCCATCTTGCAGAATTCTGCTCTGGAGTTCTTGCATCAAATACCTGTGGAATTCTTACATTTTTCTTGAACGATATCTTGAAAAATGAGTTCATAAAATAATCCTCCTGAATCCAACCAAATTTCTGCTAATCCTTCAGATGACTCATCCAGCCCGTATTACCTGCATCCAAGCGACAATCCTGGTGCTCTTCTAATATCAGAAATCTTTAATGGAGAAAACTATGTTGCGTGGAGTCGCTCTATACTGATTGCACTAACAGTCAAGAACAAGGTAAAATTTATTGACGGCTCTATCGTTTCTCCTTCTGCTGATCAACCGATCAAGTACACAACATGGTTAAGAGCAAACAATTTAGTTCTCTCATGGTTAATGAATTCCATTTCAAAAGAGATACGCAATAGCCTGCTATTTGTGACATCTGCTGCTGAATTCTGGAATGAACTCAAGATCAGATATTTGAGAAGTGATGGAACAAGAGTCTTCCATCTTGAAAAATCCTTAAGCTGCATTAATCAAGGTGCTCTCTCTGTGACTGAATATTTTAGCACTTTTAAAACTCTTTGGGACGAGTATATCAGTTATAGACCATTTCCAACATGCACGTGTGGTGTGATGGCAACATGTTCCTGTGAACTTTTTAAATATCTGCAAGTAAGACAGCAATCTGATTATGTGCTCAAGTTCTTGGTGGGATTGAATGATTCTCATGCCTCCATCAGAAGTCAATTACTGCTAATGGTTCCATTGCCGGGAATGTCAAAAGTTTTTTCTCTATTGCTGCAAGAGGAAAGCCAGAGACAACTTACAAACACTGATTCACACAATGAAACTCATGCTTTGATGGCAAAGCAATTCAGCCAACAGAATCATCTGCCCAGATTTTTCAAAGACAAACCAAAGAAATCTGCATCACAGTGTACTTATTGTGGATATAATGGTCACACAGTTGAAAAATGTTTTCAACTTCATGGTTACCCTCCTGGCTGGAATGGACCAAAGGGGAAAAGGAATATAGCTTCTGCTCATGCTGTCACTACAACCCCAGAAGCTCACAAACAGGAAAGTACTGAGCAACCAAAGATTTATTTTACTCCAGAGGAATTTAACAAAATAATGGCTCTTGCAAATTCATCACAACCTAATACTTCTTCCCAAAATAATGTCCAACCAACTGTTAATCACGTCACTTCATCCCATTTTTCTGGTAAGATGCAATCTACTCTTAAACCAACTTTATCTTCTTGCAATTCAGCTGTTTCTAATCCAAATTCCAATCTATATTGGATTCTTGACACAGGTGCAACAGATCATATGATTTGTTCACCATACTCATACCATTCTACACCTAAGCGAATTAATGCATCCATAAATCTTCCTAATGGTACCACAGTTTCAGCCACTCACATTGGCACTATACACCTCACAGATTCCATAATTTTGCATGATGTCTTGTGTGTTCCCCATTTTTCCTTTAATCTGTTATCTATCTCTAAACTTACTAAACAATCTAACCTTTCCCTCACTTTTACTGCTTCTTGCTGTCTTTTACAGGACCAATCAATGAAGAAGATGATTGGGATTGCTCTTGAAAAGGAAGGACTTTACCATCTAACTCAAGATCTACCAAAAACCAGATCCTGCAGACCAATTCAGACTTCTCCTGTACCTTTAGTTCTTTGCTCTGCTCACAGACAACTAGATATATGGCATTGTAGATTAGGCCATGTACCTAATTCTAGACTACATTCTCTCAAAAGAATTGACTCTGCTATTAATTTCAATTGTACAAGTACTTGTGAAATATGTCCTTTAGCCAAACAAAGAAGGCTTTCTTTTCCTGTATCAAAAAGCAATTCAAATAAAAGTTTTGATCTAATTCACTGTGACATATGGGGACCCTTTGGCACAATTTCTTATGCTGGCTTCAAATACTTTCTAACTATAGTCGATGACTTCACAAGATGTACTTGGGAATATATGCTCAAAGCTAAGTCAGAAGTACAATCTTTAGTCAAGAGTTTCTGTAAAATGGTAGCAAACCAGTTTCATTCCTCTGTTAAAATCATTCGTTCTGATAATGGACCAGAATTCCTGCTCGCAAAATTTTACCATAAGTATGGCATCCTCCATCAAAGAAGCTGTGTAGAAACTCCACAGCAAAATGGTGTTGTGGAGAGAAAACACCAACACCTGTTAAACACTGCAAGAGCCCTAATGTTTCAAGCTAATCTGCCACTACCTTTTTGGAGTGACTGCGTCCTGACCGCAGCACACATAATCAATAGAATCCCCACTCCTCTACTCCAAAATAAAACTCCTTTTGAAAAAATCTTTAGCAAAACACCCAATCTCTCTCATTTAAAGGTGTTTGGCTGTCTTTGTTTTGCATCAACACTATATAGTCACAGACAAAAATTTGATCAAAGAGCCACAAAGTGTATATTCTTAGGATACCCCTCTGATATTAAGGGGTACAAACTCATGGATCTCAAAAATAATAAGATCATTATCTCCAGGAATGTCACATTTCACGAAATAATCTTTCCTTTCCAAGTATTACCACAAAATACTGAAACTCATTCCTTTATGTTTCCCATTTCACCACCCTTCTCAGAACCAACTCATACTGACTCATACTTCAATCACAATCAAAATAGAGTCCCTGAATCCTCACATATCCATTTAACTCCTCTTTTGAGCCTCATACTGATATTGAACCAGATTCACATACATCTCCTTCATCATCTCACATTGAAACTACAACTACTTCAACAAATCCTGAAAATCTGCAGCTTAGAAAATCTACCAGAATTAGACAAACACCTCGACATCTGCAGGATTTTTATTGTGGTAATGTCTCTTCTTCTCCAGAAGCAACTCAAACATCTACTTCAAATGATTGCTCTCCAACAAAAGGTAATTTCTATCCTCTTGATCACTTTCTATCTACAAGTAGACTCTCTACATCGCACAAAGCCTTTCTAACCTCTATCACACACTCACGGGAACCCAAAACATACAAACAAGCCTCTAAACTTCCTGAATGGCAAGATGCTATGAAAAGTGAAATTCATGCTTTAGAGTTAAATAAAACTTGGGAGCTTGTTACTCTTCCTAAAGATAAAAAGGCTATTGGATGTAAATGGGTATTCAAGATAAAATACAGGGCTGATGGATCCATAGAGAGGCATAAAGCTAGACTGGTGGCAAAAGGATATACTCAACAAGAAGGTTTGGATTTCTTCGACACTTTCTCTCCTGTTGCCAAAATTACTTCCATTCGGTTACTACTTACAGTAGCAGCAGTCAAACGATGGCATCTTCATCAACTAGATGTTAACAATGCGTTCTTACATGGAGATTTACATGAGGAAGTTTACATGGAATTGCCTCCGGGAATGAATGTCAAAGGGGAACAAAAGGTTTGCCGACTCTTGAAGAGCCTTTATGGCCTAAAACAGGCCTCTAGACAATGGTTTGCCAAGCTATCCACTGCTCTCATTTCTTATGGATTTGTCCAAGGAAATTCTGACTGCTCATTGTTTGTCAAGAAATCTGAAAACTCATTTATAGCATTATTAGTCTATGTTGATGATGTGCTGTTGGCTAGTGACAACATCCTGGAGATTGAGAACTTAAAATCCTTTTTGAATCAGAAGTTCACCATTAAGGACTTAGGAAAGTTGACATACTTTCTTGGATTGGAAGTTGCAAGGTCCAAAAATGGCATCTCCCTATGTCAAAGAAAATACACACTTGACATACTTGAAGACACAGGTTTAACTGGATCCAAGCCTGCTGCCTTCCCTATGGAGTCTAACCTCAAGTTATCAGGTAATGATCCTAATCTATATGAAGATCCATTAGGTTACCGAAGACTCATTGGCAGATTACTCTACCAAACTCTCACTAGGCCTGACTTAGCCTATTCTGTGCAAGTGCTCAGCCAATTTTTGGCAAAACCAGCTGTTAGTCATCATAAAGCATCCATTAGAGTATGGAGATATCTAAAAGCCACACTAGGACAGGGCCTTTTCTTTCCGTCTTCCTCAGACTTACTTTTAAAAGGCTTCTCAGATAGTGATTGGGCAGGCTGTGTGGATACTAGAAGAAGTGTCACTGGTTTTGCAATTTTCCTTGACAAATCTTTGATTTCTTGGAAATCAAAGAAGCAAGTTACAATCAGTAGATCATCTGCCGAAGCAGAATACCGAGCCCTTGCAACTACGACGTGTGAGATCCAATGGCTTTTGTATGCCTTACAAGACCTGAATATCATTCATTCAAAACCGGCTTTGTTATACACTGACAGTAAATCAGCTATGTCCATTGCTACCAATCCGGTTCAACATGAAAGAACTAAGCACATCCAGATTGATTGTCATCTTATTAGAGAAAAATTACAGCAGCATGTCGTTAAACTATTTCATATTCCTTCGCATCTACAAGTTGCAGACATTTTTACAAAACCGCTTGGCTCTCTACCTTTTCATCATGCCCTTCGCAAGATGAACATCATTAACATCCATGTTCATCTTGAGGGGGGGTGTTGGAGTGTAACATCTCACATTGAAAGCATGGAGCTAAAACGGAAAGAAGAAAAGCTCAAATTGCAAGAAAAAGAATTAGTTAAACAAGTTAGTTAGTTGTTATTTCTGTTTTTCTGTTGGTAGTTAGTTCAGCCTTCTTTCTGTTATTTTCTGGTAATTTTCTGTTGATGTAATGTATTATAAATACGGCTCAGCCTGATGTACAAATTTGATGGAATACACTTTGATAATTCTTGCCATTTTCGGTCTCCTGATTTTGTTTATCAACAACTGCCATGCATACCCTATTACTGTACACACATTTCTTGTTGGAATGAGCATCTCAGTTGTTTCAAATCCAGAAACATGAATACTGAAGCTAAATCCATTCTCAAATTACGCTAATTCAAATTACCCGTTTCAGAGAATCAAAATCAGAGAAATTGCACAATTCTGATTCGTAATATCACAAACTCACAATCTTTTTCATTGTTTGAGAGAACCAAAATCAGAAGACAGAAAACAACCTTTAGACGGTCGACTGAGAGGAGACCGCTGAGGATGCATTCTTTAAGACCTGTACCCAGCACTATCACATCGTACTCCTCATCCATATTTCTTCAATTTCTCTTTATCCCTTTAATTGATTCTTCAATTGAAATCGGTTGATTTATGATCTAAATCCAAAAACCAAAACAGATCAATTAGATCGATAAGAACGAGAAAATTATGTACATATGTAATGTGTTTCAGATATGCATGAATGTATCGCAGTGTGCATGGGGAAGTGTATTAACTTACATTTAGATTTCGTAAATGGAGAAACGTCAGGGAAAACAAATCAGAAATGTAAAGAATGGCTATGTACTTTTATTAATGTAGTAATTTAAGGGTGGTTAATAAAGGTTGAACCCAACCTTGAGCACTATCACCGTCCTGGAGCATTACGAGAGAGGTAAATCGTGAGATGTGCCACAGCAGGATAGGGAACAAGAGCTTATCCTACACTAGTGCTCACAAAGAGTCCAATTCCATATATCAGGAATCGAACCCTCACACTGCGACTGTTATACCTCACTCCTGTCCTTTACACTACTACGTTTTGCCCTGGGGGGCATTTAAGGGTGGTTACTGAAAAAAAAGATTGAACCCCAACCTTGAGAGCCCCTACCGTCCCGTCCCTAGAGCTTTGTGAGCAAGGTAAATCGTAGGATGTGCCTCAACAGATCAGGGAACAAGAGCTGCATGTACACCGTGCCTACAATGAGTCAAATTTCATGTCTCAGGAATCGAACCCCCACACTGCGACTGTCAATAAGATGTGAAATAACTTCACTTCTATCATTTGCATCACTGGACTATGCCCCAGGGAGAGGGCAGGGTGGTTACTAGTTTATATGGCAGTTTGTTTAAGAACACAATCTAATTGCTCTCTTGAGCTTTAAATAGATTAATTTGTTCGTTCGATCTTAACGAGCTCACAAACCATTTTTTAATACATTTTGCTATTTAGATGGTACGAACGTTGAAAGACTTCCGATTTACGTGACATTAATGTTTAATAGATAGTCAACGTCTAAAATTAATATCGAGTATATTCTATAGGTTGCTATTTAGGTATTCTTTAATTTTTTTTTAAAAATCACAGTTACATCTAGACAGAAAATATAAATCTTGGAAAAATATTTCAATGTTGTTGAGTCACTCAATCTAAAGCTTTTGAACCTAGACAAAGCTCTTAGACATTGTTACATATTCTGTGACGTCAGAATGAAAGATTTCTTGTCAAGCTATGTGGAAGATGGAACTTTGTAAACATCTTCCACATTTGTTTATGTAGTACAAATTGTTAAGTAATTCATAATTGTGTTGGAGATGCTATGATAGCAAGAATTGGCTCCTGTGGCATATTAAGGGCTTGTTCGGGAGGAATTTTTTATTCCAAAAAATTGATTTTTTGACCGTTATTTTACTATTCTCGCCTCAATTTTTGACTTTTTCTCTCACAGGTAGACCCCACTTTTCTTCTAACAGTCAAAAAATCAATTCTCAAAATCCCTCCAAAACGGGGCCTAAGTGATTTCTAAATTAAAAGATCAAAATTGACGAGAGAAATAATCGAGTTCTTATATATTGTTAATACTTTTATATTTATTCCAAGTTCTACTCCGAGCATCCTTAACTTAGGTAACCAACGGGTTTTTAATCTAATTTTTTAACATTTAGACTATCTTTTTAGTAGTATCATGATCTTCGTTTCATATTATGATTCAATTGATTATTAAAAGCTCGAATTTTTTTATGGGGTAGTTTGATAAAAGTTCATTATAAAAGTTGGTATAATTACACTAAAAGTTGATTAAGGGTTGTAGATTTGTCACTCTGTGGTTACAATTGAAATTCGACTTGCTAAAAAGTTGATAAAAAAAAGTTAATAAAGTTTTAAAAAGACATATTTTATCATTATCTTAATTAATACAAAAATAGATTAAAAAAAGAATAAAAATGAAATAGGTTTGGGTAGGACTGGACAAAACTCCCAAATCAAACAGTCCGAACTAGATCCAAATCAAACCAAACAGTTCTTCTTAAGTGAAATATCCGAACGGGTATCTGAATTGAAAATCAATGAGTTCGACTCGGTTCAGTTCTTGGTTCTGGATTAAGAACTGAAAAACTGAATAAAAATTGAATCTGCTTAATTTTTTAAAATTTATTTCTTTTAAAAACGTCAAATTATTTTATTTTTTTCTAAATAAATTTACTAACTAATTTAGCTTAAACCCAAAAATATAATTTCCCTAATTCTAATTTTCAGTTCAAATCCAACTTAATCAAATCGACCTAAGTTTTACCTAAATATATTTTTGCGAAAATTGCAGCAGAAGCCCCAAACTTTTTAAACACTAGCAAACTTTCCCATAACCTTTTATTTGTGCAGCTGTCACTCCAAACCTTTTGAAACATTGCATCTGATGCCCTTTTGGATGGAATCTGTCCAAATTTCGGTTAGTTGACATGAAAATTTCGAATTTGGTTCGATTCTCATTAGAACCGAACCGAACCGGATCACGTCCAACCCTAAATTTGGGACTAATGACACAAATTTCCAAAAAAATATATAGTGTGTTTGAGTCACATTATTTTGAAAGAATGTATGATTTAAAAATAAGGAAAAATTTTGAATTTATGTGTAATATTATTTGATTAAAGAATGTGTAGATGAAATGATGTTAAATTATTATTTAAAAATGTATTTTTTCAAAAAATGCTGCTCAAACAGGCTTATAATTTCCGATGAGAAATGAAAGCGAAAGGAGATTTGGACTGCAGTGAAGAAATAGCATTTTGGCCAAGGAAAAGCATATTTGGACACAAATTTTTCCGATGAGAAATGAACGCGAAAGGAGACTTGGACTGCAATGAAGAAATAGCATTTTGGCCAAGGAAAAAGCATATTTGGACAAAAATTTTGTTTAGTTAATGACAAAAACGTGTATTCTTTTCCCAGCCATCCATTCCATCTGTTTCTTGATATCGATAGGTGAGTTATTAATCATCTCTATCACGTATAGCATCTTCAATCATAATCATAATATAAAATAGATCTAAATTAAACCTCTCCAATGAATAATAAATGCAAATAGAATTGTATTTTTCAGCATAAAATGTAAAAAAAAGATATATACGTTCACAAGAGGCAAAAAGTAAATTTAGATTTTTTGGTTAGAGTAAATTTGAATTTAGATCCACCGGTTGCAAATGAGGATGCTATAGCAATTTTGAAGATATGAACTTTACATCTAATTTTACATCACTATGGGAGATGCTCTTATCCAGCATTGTCTTCGACTCTTCAAATTAGGAGTGATTATTTTATTTTTTAATAATAATAATTTTTATTTATTATTTTTTTTTTTTGTCATTGACATTGTCCAATAATTTGCCAAAAAATGCATGACATCCTATTGTATTTATTTAAAAAGTAAATAAAAATGCTAGTTTAGAATTGGAAAAAAGCCCAGTGTACAGGAGCATATTTACAAATGTTTTACAGGGCCCCTCTCTGTGTAGGGGCCCCACACGTTTTTTTTAAAAAAAATTATTACGTGGGGCCCACGTATTGTGCGTGCCCTGGCAAGTCCCTGTGAAACAGACCTGTAAGCCTAGCAGGGTTCTTCAGAATTATACCGAAAGTGTTCGGATCATTTCGATTTCTACTCTAACCAAGCAATAATTTTTACGATTTCTATTACAGGTTCCCAGTTGAACCTAGCGGGCTATGGTGATTTTATACCTAAAATTTCAATTCCGATATTTTGGTACAACCAAAATTGCCTTAAATCTTAATTAAGAGTTAAAAATTATTTTCTGCATTATATGGATCGCGGAACTTAACTTTGCTTATTCCCGACGAGGTAAATCCACATTGGCTCATTGATTCAATCGAATGTCGAGAATTTGTCAAAATCATAATTTCGTTGATTCTATATGAATATTGAGTACTAATTTGATCAACAAATCATCGATCAAACAAGGGAAAAATCTACCATGCATAACTGTTAAACAACCTCTCACCAATGATAGTAACTAGAGTGCATTAAATAAATCATATAAATTAAAATAAATAGTTAAATATTAAAATATGAGAATCGAAATAAGTTTTTAATAGGTGCCACGTAAGTGCGACACTCCCAATGCAATAGGCACATGATTAAAGAGTTATAATCTTTTGATAGGGTATAATCTAGATCATTAGGTCATGACCTAATATGAAATCGTGCAATCTAATGTCAAAAGATGCGATCATTGAAAAAAGACATTGAAATCTATAAATTGTACTCTCCTAATTTCATTTTATTTACTCCAAGTCAATTCAGTTCAATTGATTTATAATTTCTCCTTCTCCAAATTATGTCAATATAATTTTCAATTTATTTTTCGAGTTTCATGTTCCATATTTTAATTTTCGATATCATTCGATCTAGAAGACTACAATCAAGGTTTGGTTTGCCCGATAATATTAATATGAGTTTTGCTACACTTACATCGGGATTGACACTCCGGTGTACACTCCCCTCACATGAGAGATCCCAATATTTTTTTTATTGTTATCCCTCATGTGAAGGAAGTTTACACTGGAGTGTCAACCCCAGTATACAAATAACATTTCATAATTAATATTATGCTATATTAATTTTGAAAGAAGTTTCGTAACTTGAGAGACAACTATCCATTTATCTTGTTAGCGCCATTGTAAGGTACAAAACACGCTTTTTTTCATCTCACACTTAGGTCCTGCATTTCCCATCTCTAGGTATAATTGAATCTAGTGATTTCAAACAAGATTTTGAAAGGCATGAGACGTTGTAAGGTAACAGAGTTAAATTTCAAGCTTCACAAGTCTAGATTCAATAATCTATTTCCTCATATTTAATATTATTTTTAATAATATTAAGGCCATTATTTTATTTATTCTTCAAACGTTAATAATTTTTCATTTTATTTAATTAATTTGTCTAACCTTCAAAAAAAATAAAAACAAATTGGACAAAAATAGTACAAAATCATGCACCTTTTGACCCATAGACCCTCATTAGTGGTTAAAATAGAGTTTAACATCTTTTTCCACGCTTTCTTCGTATGCAATGCTTTTTCCTCACGCCTATTTCTGCTTTTTAAAGCACTATTTCCATCATAAAATTGTGGTTGAATCGGTGAACCGGAAGAAAATATTTAATCCATAGCCCATGTGACTTGTGAGTTTGCAATTGTGATTTTGGGGTAAAAGATTAATTATACTTTCAAGTGATTCCTGAATTATTTCCCCACCAAAAATGTCGAAATTTTGTTCACATAA